ATTCTCTCGGTGGTTGACATGCCAATTCGTTTGAGGAGTTGTCTATCGGTTCGTGGTTTCGCGTTCCTTCAGTTAGATTTTGAGGCTTCTGAAGTTGTCCTTTAGTTCTTTAAAATCCTTTCCTTGGTGTGACCTTGTGTTCGTTCCTTGTTCAGTTCTCCTCGGGATGTTCCAAATATCAGGGACAAAATTTCCTTAAGGAGGGGAGGTTGTAATGACCTGGTCATTTTCCTTCCTTTCCTTTTTTCTGAAATTTTACGGATAAATTTTTTCCATTGAATTTTCTTTTCTAAGTTCGGTTACTCATCACTTAGTGTCGTCTCGAGTGCTCGGAAATAGTTTCTGAAACTCTTTCCTTTGGATTGACGACTTCCTTTAAAGACTAAGTCATTTCCACATTTTCATTTTTTGACACTATTCACTTTTCGTCTTTTTCTCATTTGTCACTTTGTTGGCACAACCTCACTTTTCATGTTCGGAGTTGAGTTTTGACTTCACGAGTTTTCATTTCAGTTGATTTCCTTGAAACGCGTAGCTTTACTTTTGGAGAAAAGCTCGTCGGTTGTTTCTTTCTCCCGTAGGGGCGTGGATGAAATGATTCTTTAGAAACATTGATGTTTCTTGTGGTGTTTTTCATAAATATCTTTTGGAGATATTTTGATTAGGGGTTTTTAAGAAAATATCTTTTGAAAGATATTTTCGTTCTGGGCCAGTTTTGCAGTTATCCTTTCTTAGAGGGGCCATTTGTAATTAATGAAAGTTATTGCAAAATGCCTCATTTTGAGGCTAGATCCTCATACAAGATTCATTTTCACATTTCATCGAGTCGTGTACTCTTAGAATTTTCTTCGGTCATTTTCCCCTTGTTTTAGGGTTTTTGGCCCCAGTTAGTGCCGAACTTGTTTGGGACATATCTTTCTGCACAGGACTCGGTTTTCAACATTGTTTCTTTCATTGTTCATTGTTTTTCATTTCAGTTCTTTTTCGTTTTACAGTTTGAGCGCATAAATTCCACTTTTCCGGACCCGGCGAGGCCCTTTCGGGGCACTTTTAGGGTTTTACTATAAATAGGGGGTTATAAAATTAAAAACATTTCATCCTCTTCTTCTTACACTAATGCAGATCAGCCATGGTAGCCTAAGGGGGCTGCCACCCTTCTTCTCTCAATTTAACCTCCTTCCCCTTGGTAAAATGTCGTAGTATCTTAGTGTTTATCGTAAGCCTTGGCGAGGCGCTCCTTTCCCCTTTTTAGAAGCCGATTCTAACCATTTTTGATTTCGGGTTTTGAGTTCGGGTTTGGATTTTCATGGTGCCTCAAGGGTTAAAGTTGCTTCCCTCATAGTCCCCGACAAAACCTAGAAGTATTGTCGGATTTAGAGCGTTTTCTTTCCTGTGGGGATTTGAGATTTCATCTCAAATGGAGGTAGGAGATGTTTAAGGTTTATATAAATGTTGTATTGAATGTATTTCATGCTTATACAACTTGTATGCATACCTCGGTATTTTATTTAGAATTTAATTTAATTATTTTCTTTGTATAAGATTTAATTCTCATGGTTGTATATAGCTTGGAATTAAATTGTGGCATGCTATTAAACTAAGCCTTGATGTGTTCACTAACATATATTAAATTGGGAGGATTTAAATAAGTATTGCAACTTTTATTTAATCTTTCACTTGTATGAAAATTTATTTCACATGGTTGTAATTAGCATGGAATCAACTTGTAATGTGATATTAAATTAGGCCTTGGTATGTTCTTTAACATATGTGAATTTGAGAATATTCGGAGTTGTTTTAAAATCTCGAGAAAATTAATTAATTAGGTTAATTAATTTTATTTTAAGTGTTCTACTTACTTGATTGGATTTTTAACTTGATATTGTTGATGAGCTTGGCATGTTCTATCATATACATTAAATTGAGAATAATTGAATAGGTTTTGAGACTTTTATTTAATTATTTTCTTTGTATGGAATTTAATTCACATGGTTGTACCTAGCTTGGAATGAACTTACAATGTGATATTAAATTAGGCCTTAATATGTTTATTAACATATATGAAAATGAGAATATTTGAATGAGTGCGGAGAACTTTATTTAATTATTTTCTTATATGGAGATTAATCTACCTAGTTGTAAGTTAGATAGAAATAACTTGTAATGTGATATTAAGCTAGGTCTTGCCATGAACTTTAACTTATATTAATTTTAGAATATTTGGAGTTACTTTGTAATCTTGAGAATTTAATTATTTAATTTAATTAAATTCCATTATATGCTTCCATTGAGGTAGTTAGGTGTTGAAGTTATTTTCATGCTTAACTTGTAAATTTAGAACTTGTGGTGTGATTACATTATAGTATTCCATGAGTAGAAGTTATAGTTTAACTTACTTATATACACATTATACATTTAACATGTCATATGCCATTGTAGGTTGAAGACATAGGATGAATATTGTGACGGCCCAAGTTTTTCAACTCGGTGCGTTAATGATGAACCAAAAGTTGACCCGATAAAGGATCCGAAATGTGGAAGTGAAACCAAAAACAAGACCTGTAGAGATATCAATCATCCCTAAGACACCCAAATGACTTTCCATGAAGTCATGAAACTCAAAGAAATAACCAGAAGCGGAACTAGAATAAAAAGGTCAAATGATACCCTATAGCACCAATGACGACCAAAGGAATGTGATCTAGTTCACACTAGACTACGTACACCATTAAATGGCTCAAACGAGATCGACAAGGTTATGTTAGAACAAACAAATAAAGCCAACCAGCCGAAACAACTGACCAAAATAAACCCACAAAATAGCTCCATTTCGGTCGACTGAAATGGAGCTTCGGTCTGCCAAAATGGACCAGGAAGAGAAGAGAAATGAGCCTTCATTTCGGTCAACTGAAATGACAAACCGGTCGACCGGTTTATGGCTCGAAGTGAAAAATGGCTACTAGAATTGGACTTTTACTATTCAACTGAGATTCAAAGGCCATCGGTCGACCGAAACAAGCCACCGGTCGACCGAAACAGGTAGAAATGCAAAGAATGAACCTGTTATGCACCAAAACTAAAAAAACCTAAGTCTCAAATGGATCCCCCATTGCATGATCAAAATGAATTGTATACAAGTGTGTGATGATGTGAACATACATGCAAGTGTAAAATAACATTTTAAACATGCGGATATGGCCTATGGCCTTATTATAATTCATTTACAACATTTGGCATGTCAAACCTCCAAGTAAGAAAAATTACATTTCATAGGCAAAACTTAAACATGCTAACACATGTGAACAAGAATGTTTCTAAAGAAACTTCAATTCTGTAAGTCACCAAAACAAGTGCAACCTCCAATCTTGTATCCTGTGCCTGAAATATGCACCAGTAACTTTGGGGTGAGCAACATAAAGCTACTCGTAGGAAATAAGCATGCATCGACCTACATTTTACAATTTTTATCACCTTAAGGTGAAACATGCTAAAGGACTCATACCACCTAACGTCTATGTCAAGGGTGAGACTCAGGGAGCATCCTAAGCTACCTTAGATCATTTCTAGCATAAATCACATAACCTATGCAATTCAAACCACATAGAAGCATGCTATACAAAGCAACAAGATATAGATTCTTAAAGCCATCAACTTGAAATCTAATATACAAAAATGACAAAAGTGGGTCATGCCACCTAACGTCTACATTCCAAACAAATTTATAGGATCATTCCTAAGTTACATTTGAACAATATAGCACAATTCACAATATCTATGCAATTTAACCAACATAGAGGCATGCTATACAAGGCAACTAGACATAGATTGTCAAAGTTACCAACTTGAAATCTAAAAGTGCGAAATCAACTAAATATAGCAATTTAGTATAATTAGAATTTCTAATACCACACATCAAGACATAGATTCTCTAGGTTATCAACTATAAATCTAAAAGTGCGAAATCAAATAGTGGAATACTTGCACATCTAAGCTCAAAATTCTGCCGAGACCTCAACGGCTATTACGAGCACTAACCCGCTGGTAATACCACCCCTAGTGCGCACTATCTCGACGGGGAAAACTCATACCTCCCACACTAGAGCCAAACTCTAGCCATGTTATAGTAACCATGTCCCAAGTGACTCCAAAATAAATAAGTTAACAACTTATATACGAAATATATAGTACAGAAAACTACCTTCATGCACAAGTAAGTTAAAACCACACAATACATGCCCTAAATTCACAACTACTATAGGATGACAAATGTTGAATCTTCAGAGCGCGATTCGTTACGCGCTATAATAACATCACATGTCGAATCTTCAGTGTGTGACTCGTTTCACGCTATAACAATATAATTCAATATTGAAAGCATAACTTATAAATCCATTGCAAGTCTAAAATCAAGCTTTAAACATACTACCAATGTTATATACGTGATTAAATCTTCAACGCAATAAAAACAAAAATTAATTACATCACCTAATTAATTTTTCTAGGTTTCAAATCTCAATTAACACTACAAGAAATTAGGATTCTAGTGACAGTCAAGACCGTCCCAAAAAGCCCCAAAACCGTCACTAATGATCAAATCCGTCCGTCACTAATTAGAGCGTCGCAAAAGATTTTTAGGGACGGAAAAAATTGACTGTCACCAAAAAACTCAAGGTTTAGGGACGGACTTACTGTCCCAAATAATACTGTCACTAAAATTTATTAGGGACGGTATTTACCGTCCCTATTGCTTATTTTTTTAATTTTTTTATTATATTTGTGACAGTTTGAAACTGTCCCTAATGCTTTATTTATTTATTTATTATTATTATTATTATTATAATTATTGCTATGCTAAATTTTGTGTTTTTGCGTTTTTTTTTTTTTTTTTTTTTTTTTGTCAAGTTTTTTTATAACAAATTAGAAATCCAAATATTTAGCATAAGAGAGTTGGAATTAAACCATTAATTATCATAATAAAATGTTTACAACACAGTATAATATTATCCAAATATTCAACAAAACATACCAACTCAAATAATCCATTAACCAGAAAGATTACACAATATTAACTAAATATTCAGCTAGAATGCTCAAATGTCTTTAATATTCAATTGACTAAAGAGAAGACAATCATATTGGTCATTCAGGTGGTTGTGGTAGTGGTGCTGACTGCCGCTGAAAGATGAATAACTGAGCTTCCCTTCATAAGATGATTATACTTGCAATTAAATCTATATTTGCATCTCCCAGTGCTAATGAAATATCAGCATTCAAGTTGATCAGGTCACTCAGGTAGAAGAAGAACTGATGTAGACAACATATGCAACTGTCCACGGGAACCTGAATCACCTTGATTCTTGGAGTTATAAATAACCTGAATCAACATAGGTAGATCCTTACTGACTTGCTGGCATAGACAAGAACCATGAAAAGAACTGCAACAATCCATTTTTAGAGCTGGAAAATAACCAAATTAAGATAAACTAATTCCCCCAATTGAATTACAAATAAACACAACCTCATAATTCATTTAATTTAAGATCTTATGAATTTGACAGAAGTAATCAAAATTCACCAGACCTGAGTTAATCATGAAGTAATGATCTTTAGTCAAGAACATATATCTGTCAGTCTGAAGTGGTGAAGGTTGTCATCGTAGCCTTGAAAAAGGACATTTTGTGATTGGACCCTAGAAGTAGGAAAACACCAAAGAGATAATATTGCTATTGCAAATCACAATATTCAACTCTCCAAGCCCTCAAATCAGAGTAAACACGAATTTCTCTTTAAATGTAGGATTGTTGCCTCCAATTATTTTTTAAAAACCAAATCAAATTGAATAGTTGTGTATAAGAATTAACCAGTAGAAAAGTTCAAGAAACAACACAATATAGATCCAAATATACATATATAGAGAGAGAAAAAGGGAGAGAGAAGAAACATATGCAAACATAGGGATCTTGCCTCAAAATCCACTTTGTCTCTTTCAATAAGCAATCTCATTCACTTGAGGAATAAAAACATATGTCCTTGTCCTTGTGCTTTGGTGCTTAACGAGCAAAGACCAATATAGTCTCATTACAAATTGAATAGTTGTGTAGAGAGAGAAAGTGGATATTGTTAGATCCATAATCAAAGGGTACAAAGAATTACTTAAAATTGAGGAACTGCTACCATTCTAATGAGAAGTACTTAAAATTGAGGAACTACTACCATTCCAATGGAGAATGATGCTATATAAATCTGGTCTCATTAAGAAGAAAGATAAGATACACATATAGATGAATCAAACATCTGGATCATATAAAAAATTTCACAAGGTAAATTGTAGAAGTGCTGGTACTCCAAAAATTGCTAATCATGTGACTCATCGAAGCAATAAATTTTAATCCAAATTTTTTTTGTAAAAAACATGGAACAAGATCAAATTTAAGTGAAAAATAAACAGAACTTAAACATTAAGAACCGAAGGGACCAGCAAAGAAAAATATAAATGAAGGCTCCAAGATAACTTTATATCGTCTAATGTTGAAGCAATTGTCAAGTAGACGAAAGTACAAACAATTCTTTTTCTGGAAAGAAGTACTAAGAGTTTTGGTTACATATATAAAATTAAAGAATAAAGATAGTTGATTAAACTTAAACTTATTCAATAAATACACAAGTCCACTTGCCATATTATTTTTTATTGTGCCAAAAGTTCATCAAACTAAAGCACATATATAATAGGAAACATTTCATTTAATAATACTATATAACATCACTCAATTGTTTTAAAGGTGCCTATATGTTCAATAACATAAGGAAGACAACAAAAATATAGAGAATATATATTTAAATTCTACTACAGTTTTAGTAAGCTTTTGAGCTATCAAGCAAGAGATAAGTATGTAATCAAAACGCTTTTTAAGAAAATGAGAGACATGAAAATGGAGAATGGAAAAGAACTAACAAGGTTTTCAAATTTGTCATTGTTCCAAGATAATCAGGTATCTGTCCCATAATATTGCAGCTCCTTAATATCCTGCGATGCAATCAAATATATTTAAATATATATCATTCCAAAACACCAAGAAGATATTAATATATTCCATAAGAGAATATAGAATTTTTCTATGTGCAGTGTCTTCAGGTTTTTCATATTACTAAAAGGTGGAAAAGCTGTTTCACTTCCACTCAAGTCACTAAATCTCCTGCATTTGTTTTTATTTGTCAAAGAATAAACATAAATTAGATATTTTCTTATATAAAAGGGTAAAGCTATGAGATTATAAGAATTTACTAACAAGTCAGACAAATTTTCCAAGAGAGAAATTCCAGAATGAATTGGCCCATCCAAACCACTAGCCTGAATCATCCTGTCATAATTTTGTTTAAATGAATGGTTAAACAGAGAACATCTTCCAAAGAAAAATTGAAATATCAAAACAAGTAAAGTAAAAATCTTACAAGTTTTGGAGTTTTGTCCAGTTTTAAATGAAATTGGGTATCTTTCCTTTAAAGTTGTTGTTGCTAATCCTACTACAATGTGTAAAAAAATAATAATAATAATAAAAATAATAATAATTATAATAATAAAAATAATAATTAATTCTAAAAATAGGAAATAAATAAGTATTTAGAAACACAACAAAATAAACCAACTTTAGACACTTACAAGTCCTTCAAAGTGGTCAGATTTGCAAGTGTTCCCGGCAACTCCCTAGTAAAATAATTTGAGCTTAGGAGTCTTCAAGAACCAAAATTAATTAAGCCAATGGTCAATTGACCTCAAATTTCAAATTGAACCCTCAGACGTATTACCAATTTTTTTTTAAAAAAAAAATTACACATTCATAAAGTACATAGACAAAACTAACACCATAAAATCAAAAAATAGATAAAAGGGTTTTACACTTTCTCCAAGCTGAGAAGATTCCCAAGCTCTAGAGGAATACCTCCAGAAAGCTGATTGTCCCCGAGGACTCTAAAAACACCAAAATTAAAATCATAAAAGCATAATTTTATATCACATGTACCTAAATGTGAAAGAAATTGGTTATCCAAATCTTACAAGCTTCTGAGTCTGGTTATGTTTCCGAATTCTTTTGGGATTGAACCTGTTAATCGATTTCCAAGGAGAGAGCTGCAACAAAACCATCATGTCATATATTTGTTAGAACAAGAGAAGTTTCAATATGGATGTGTGTGTTTGTGTATAACATATATATATATATATACACACAGAGAGGGGGCAGTTGATACATACATGTTCACTAGTTGTATGGAACCCCATTCTGGAGGAATAGTACTGTTAAGGTAGCTGTGAGTAAGGTCACTATATGAATGAGTGTACATACAACAATTTGAGAATTAAGATTGAGTAGCACTCAAATGCGTAATTAACAAGAAAAGATGAGGGCATTGCGGGATTCATAAAGTAATAGATCAAAATAATCAAGCAAGTAAACCATGTAACAAAATGAATGTATCAGAATCAAAATGCTGTCATGATGTGTGCACACACACACATAAAGAGGCAGAGTTTGGAAAACTTGATGGTAATATGTAATGTATCTAGTTTGGCATTTTATTCCACCATAAATTAACAAGAAAATTGTTGTTCCTTCTATAAGCTTGTCGTTCCATAGAGAAAAATGACAACAGACCCATAGAAGGCTAGATTAAAAACTGCTTTGTTTTATACCATTTTACTTTTCTATTATCAAGTGAAAATCAGTGGAATAGGACATGTTAGTATTTATTTAAGAGCTACATAATACATTGATTTACTTTTGTTAACTCTGTTCTTTTAACCCCTAATTTTTAATTCATTTTTCAAAGGTTACCAGTACCAAATGGCTCTGAATTTCTTCATTAAACATTTCAAATTCAAAAATATATTGAAGCCCTTAAATTATATATATTCACCTTTCACAATCAACAAAAAAAATGTGATGAAATAACAATAAATGAATTAGATGAAAAAAATCTCAAGCTATTAACTTCCCAACCTTTAATTCAAGAATGATGATGTGATATTAATTAATTAATTAATTAATCCTGAAATAATAGCAAAGATAAACTTGTTGACCAGACCTGACATTTTCTTTTATTCAAATTACTCTAAAATAAACAAAATAACAAAAACCTAAAGAATATAAAAATAATATTAAGCGAAGTACAAAAAATAATAATAAAGCAAAAAAAAAAAAGTAAAAAATAAAAAATAAATCTGTGGAAAATTTTGATTACCAAAATAAATCTGTGAGATTTTAATTGTATTTTCTCCCAAGCTTCATCCGCCAAAGTTTACCCTAGAAGAGAATAGATCTGATGCATATGATCAAACTGTAAAAAAAGAGAAACAAAAAGAAAAAAAATTCTGTGTGTGTGAACAAAAAGAAATAAAAAAATAAAAAAATAAAACTCGATCAGTAAGTGAAGAAGGACACAAACCCGAACGATCTGTTGAGCTTGAGGAAAGAGTGATTATAGAGAGAAAGGGAGGCATCCTGTGGACTATGAGGGAAGATGTACTAGAAGAGTGCTGGTAGAGAGAGAGGCCTCCGGTGGAGTACAGAGTGATTGTACCGAGAGAGAGGCATCTGTGGGATGTTCTAGAGAGAAGACTGAGATTGGGAATTGGGTAAAAGTATACAAATAAGCCAAAACGACAACGTCTGACCATTAATTTTTCTTTTCCCAAAAAGTAAAAAAATATATATATATTTTGCAACGCATATCGTCGAAGGAAGGGCGCTAAACTTTCCCCTAAAAAAATTTGGTGCGAGTGTCTACGTGTATCGTCAACAAAACGAGGGTCTTTAGGGACGGGGTTTTAGACGGTCAGTAAAGGACTGTCACTAATGTTGTAGTGGCTTTTTAGGGACAGCAACTTTACTGTTCCAAAAGGCTATTTTGATAATTTTTTTATAAAAAAAAAATTATAATTTCACTTAAAATGGCGCTAAGTTTTTCCACCACCAGATTGAAGGGTTTTTTTAAAAATTATTTTTGGTCTTTTAAGGACGGACAGGTGGGACTGTCACCAAAAAGTGTGTCTTTAGTGATAGTAATTAAAGTCCGTCCCTAAAAATAGGGTCTTTAGGGACAGTTTTTTGTACTGTCCCTAAAGGTCTGTCACTAATAACCCTTTTTTCTTGTAGTATAAATGGCCCTTAATTAATACATGTTAAACAATATAGCATGATCATTACATATATTCATTGAAATCTTAAATAGGCCAATGGAACAACGATGTAGAATTTAATTAATTCATGATAATTAAATCCCTAAATTCTAAAACAATTCTAAATGGTCCCAAACTTAACATATGCTAGTATACAAGTCCTAGTCATTCCAATTATCAAGTTAAGAACTTAATTAAGCCAACGGAGCCATTAAATAGATTTTAATTAAGCCTTTTAATTAAAATCTCTAGATTTTTATACTTATCCAAATGCTCTCAAATTAAAGTATGTTAAGGAATACGCCAAGAATTAATTTAAAAGCATACTACAAGTTCATTTCATGCAAGGTACGACCATGGGAATTAATCTTTCACAAAAGAAAAATATTAAATAAAAAGTGCAATTCTTATTCAAATAATTTTAATTTAATATATGTTAATAAACATATCAAATCCAAACTTTCTAGCATGCCACAATTTAATTCTAAGTTATACATCATCATGAGAATTAAATCCTAACCATAAAAATTAATTAAATTAAATTCTAGGACTTAAACAAAAGCATAAATACAAGTTGTATAATCATGGAAAACACTCCATACAACACATATAAAATCCTAAAACATCCCCTACCTCAATTTGAGATGAAAATCTCAAAAGCCACCAAAATGAAGCGGCTCCGAATCCAAAGATAATTCGGGGTTTTGTCGTGGACAACGCCGTGAACATTTAAACTCCAAAGAGGACCTACCAAAATCCCAACTTGACCTCAAACCCGAACTCAAAATGCGGCCAAAAATGGGTTCTAATAAGGGTGAAAGATGCGTATCGCCAAGACGAGCAATAAACATAAAGGCCCTACTATGTTTTGACAAAGGAATGAAGCTCAAAAGAGGAAAGAGATGGTGGCAGCCTCCCTTGGGCTGCCATGGGAGCTACTGGTCATGCAAGGAGAGTGGGGAAGATGAAAAATAAAATATCTCATCCCCCTTTTATAGAAATCTCCAAAAGTGCCCCGAACGGGCCTTGTCGGGTCTGAAAAAGTGAAATTTGAGCATACACACTCAAATGGCAAAACTCTGTGAACAAGAAAGATTCAAAATGAGAAAATATAAACAACGGAAGAAACAGCGTCAAAAACCGAGTCCCGAGTAGAAAGTTATGCCCCAAACAAGTTCGGCGGCAATTGGGGCAAGAAATCCTAAAACTGGAAAACAACGACCAAGAAGAAATTCTATGAGTACACGACTCAATGAAAAGTGAAAATAAATCCCGTACGAGGATCTAGACTCAAAACAAGGCATTTAGCAATAACTTTCTTTAATTGCACAATGGCCCTCGAAAAAGTGAAAACTGTGCTAATGGCCCAGAATGAAAATATCTTCCAAAAATATTTTCTTACAAACCCCTAAAATAAAATATCTTCAAAAAATATTTATGAAAAACACCCTAGGAAAAGGAAAAGATTCTGAAAAACTATGCATCCATGCCCCTATGGACACCGGGAGCAACCAGAGTACTTTCTTACAAAAGTAAAGATACGTATATCATGGAAACTACTTAGAATGAAGATACATGAAATCAAAAACCAACTCCGAACGCAAGAAGTGTCTTTTGCAAATAAAGTGGCAAATGAGGAAAAGACAAAATAAGAAAAAAGACGAAATAGGGAAAATAACGAAAAGTGAATAGTGTCGAAAAAACGAAAAATGTGGAAATGACTCGGCACCTAAAGGAAGTTGTCAATCCAAAGAAAAGAGTCTCAGAAATCACTCCAGAGCACTCGAGACGACACTAAGCGACGAGGAACTGAACTTAGAAAGGAAAAAAATCAACAGAAAAAAAAAATACCCGTAAAAATCTGAGAAAGGAAAATGAATGAAAATGACCGGGTCATTACAACCTTCCCCCCTTAAAGGGATTTCATCCCCGAAATCCAGCCCCAAACAAAACAAAAGGCGAAACCAGGATAACTACGGAGTATATCTCTGAGTACCCCATACAACACGCCATACCAGCGACCTCAAAGCTTAAAGGAACACACAAACTAGTGTCATTTGCACCCACATGCTCATGACAAGATAACCTCTCAAAGGAAAAATGACCACATAGCCACACGACAAGTAAGAACTCACACATTGAACCCACGGCCAGACAAAGGAACGGAAAAGAACAACCGTAACCATCCCTCCCGCTGAACCATCATACCAATTCAAAAACAACCACCAAAGGAACTCCAAGATAACTACATATCAAATCAGGGTACCGAACAAAGATGACATGGCAGTACGAATAGTGACTAGAACCCGCCCACGGCGTACTCAAATATGCGGTAGCAAAGACAGTGCACAGCGCCCGCCCACACTTACTCGTTAGTAAGGTAGCATCGACGGCAACTAACACTCGCCCACAACACACAACTTTGTACGGTAGCATGACAGTATAAAGCACTAGTTCATAACCTACCCCCCACTAGGTCTACCCATGAAACTCTCGATACAAATGACATCAATGTTGCAAAAATGATCATGGCCAAGGGCAATATGGGAACTAGACATCTGCGAGAGTTGGAATATGGTCCAAAGACGTTCCGGACTATCTCGGCCAATCCTAAACTCTGACAACAATGTCATAGGCACCATTATACTTAAGGTCCCAAATCCTCAATATAGCAAAACCAACATCTCTAATGTCTCAAAATGCTACTACCAACTACATCAATCGAGAATCCAAAACCTGAAAAGCAAATAAAAACCTCCAAAAATCAAAATGAACCTCACCAAAAAACATTTCATCGAAAGTCCTACACTTCTCCCTAAAATAGATCAACTACAAGACCAATCACCATGATCAAACATCAGATCTATATCCCTATCACGAATAACTAAATCCTTAAAATACAAGTCCACCAAGTGGCACACACATCAAAATGCCAACAACCAAGGTCACAAAATGAATATCTCAAAACCGTGCTTGGCAACACCAAGCTAAATCAAAATCCCTCAATTTAAATCCAAGAACAATCACTGGAACTACGATTCCTTAAGACCACGCCTAGTCATAACTAGGATGAGAAAACTCCACAAACAAGCCATATCCAACAGCGATCCTCCAAAACTCCTACTAAGAGTCAACCACATCCAGGTCTCCAAAACGGAAACAAGTCTTTAAAAGACATTCCCAAAAGAGCATCGAGCTCGTCTCATGAATCTAATAAATCCTCAATGATATGGACACAAGTCCCCATAAAATGATCTCATGTCATTCAACTCACTCTGAGCACCACAACTCTGTCAACAACCACGGCAAAAACTCCCCAAGAGAAAACACGAAGGAAAAGAACCACCGGTCCTAAAAAGAACAACACGACGACTCCATCTCTGAAACGAAAGACAACAAGGTCGAAGACTCTACCTCCTACATGGAAGTAAGTCGACCAAAATCCATCAAATCCTCACCAAGGACTCAAGACAACGATAGTGATCCTCACAGATCAACCAACCCCAAAACAGCGCACAAAGCAACGAAGAAAAGAGATTCACTCTTTGTGAAGTCCCCAACACGAACCAAGAAAAGAGAAGAAACCCTATTCTCCCACAGGTGTCGATGTGACAACACAAAAACAGAGCGTCCTTCCCACCTTAGGGAAGTGGACAGCTCCAAACAAAACAAATGTGGCAACTCCTCCACAAGGAATTTCACAACGAAACCCTTACAGAAACCCACATACATGCTACGTGCCACCGAGGGGAAACAAAAGGGAAAACTAAACGTGGAAGTCATGCAAATAACAAGGAAATGCAACTATCAAGAAAGTAAATCTACTCACATAGCTAAAAGCAAGGGTACATACAACATGTCTCCACATAAGCACAAAAGCATGTCATTAAAGCGCAATAACAGCATGGCATCTCTAAGCATATAAAAAAGGCATGCTAATGCCACACAACAAGAAGGCAAATATGGATAGACCTCCACCTACTCATGCATCACAATATCATAATTCAAACCACTAACATGGTAGTAAATGAAACTGCGGAAAATAAAAATTATGCAACAATAAACCCTATGGACATCATGTCCTAGAGTGTCTAAGTAAAAGGAAAACCAGTCCTAACCATAAACTGACTCCAAAAACCAAAGCGACAACAACCTATCTCAAAACATACGTGAGCCCTTACCACAATGGTAAGACTCTAACAATCCATCTCCGAATCTGAAGGTGACACTACAAGTGATACTAACAGTGCAATGCTCTCTCTACCCAAAGAATCAATCAATCGACTTGATCCCAAAAGCGTCATCACATGAGGAGAACTCAAAGAAATGGCAACTATACCGGGTC